TATTGCAGAAGGAGCTCCGTGGAGAGGATTTCTTTTGCTTCTTCTGCCCTATTGTCTCTCAGAAGAATGACATCGGGCCCAATCGGCAGCTGGGGAAGCTGGCGTCCAGTATCAAGGAGCTGGAGCCCCAACTGACAGCAGTTCTACAGATGAACCCACAGATGCGGAAGTTCCAAGGTAAGGAACCTGTATGCCCTGCCCCCTTCCCACTAGGGGACCAAGAAAAATCACCAGTGCAATTGGCCCGCCATTCCCTATGGGGATCAGCCGGCACCTAAAGTTGTTATGCTCCTCAGCATCAGTGGTTCTCAGCACTGAAAACACAGAATCTCTGGTGATCTTAACAGAAAATACCAGTATCTACGTCATGGCACAGACAAGGGATTCTCAAAACAGTGTGCTCTAATTACCTGGGGTTGTTAGAATACAGATTTTGAACAGGGAAGTTTCAGAATTCCTGATAGTGCTGGCCTGGGGACCACACTTACAGTAACAAAGACTTAGAGCAACTGCATCTGAATTTCTCTCTGGCTGGGATGCTCACAAATCTAATGTATAAATCCCACAGATAAGTCTAGTGTGCAGTGAATGTTGGCACCCACTGCACTAAATGACCTTATCTCAGGGTTCATTATCAAGCACCTGCGGTGGTTGTTCCTGTGGCTGTAGGGTGAGTTGCAGACTCTGGAATCCTCGTCTGTACACTGTGGGCTTTAACAGTGGCCCTGGCTGCAGAAAATTCTATCAGACTCCATACCTCTGGAGGGAAGGGACATTTAAATGAAGAGATTATGGTTGGCCTGCGCAAAAAAATGCACCTAGAAACAATGTTGGGTTCCCATGATGTCCCTGACACCATTGGCTTCTATGCAGTTTCTTCCCTGACACTCATGATTCTACTCATACAGTGACCAATACCTGACCCTCTGCATGAAATCGGGAGCACAGGTTCTCTCTGTCCTAGTCATCTGTGCAACACTCTAACTCCTCTCTTGTAAGTGTTCACGCATCTTATTTCATCCACGAATTCACCGTCAAATAGAGATCCATCACCTGAAGCCTTATTTCAGTCTACAAAACCTGCATTGCTGATCACATTCATCTTTTGACTTCAACGATAGTAGGCTTTGTAGACTTATTTTTAATTTGCTCCAGACAAGTCTTTTCTCTAGGCCAGACGCACCCCTTCCTTCATCACGGTGACTCATTAAAATGGGCAGCTCCACCTTTGAACCACGTACCCAGTGCCTTGTGTTCACGCTGCCCTTATTCCCTGCACTTGGT